AGCAGGTCTATGTTTCTTCAGCTAATCTGATGGAGTGAAAGGGCATTCAGTACAGGCTACTCTATTCTGGGGCCAAAACACTCTAAGCAAGAAAAGTTAGTGTATCTGTTTGCTAGGGCTACCATCACAAAATACCACAAACTGGGTGGCCTAAACAACGAAAATCTATTTTCTCAAAGTTCTAGAGTCCAAGAGAAGGTGTCAGTAGGTTTGTTTTGTTTTGAAGCCTCTCTCTCCTTGGTTTGCAGATGGCCACCTTCTCGCTGTGTCCTCACAGGGTCTGTCTTCCGTGCATGCACATCTCAGGGGGTCTCTCTGGGAGTCCAGTTAGGGCATAACCGAAGGCTTCATTTTATGCTAATCACCCCTAAAGCCCTACTTCCACATAGTCACATTCTGAGGCTTAGGGCTTCAATGTATTGGGAGAGAATTCAGCCCAAAACAGCATATATTTTTTTGCTCTTCATTGATAATTCAATTAAAGCAATATCCTACATGGTTGTTTTCTCCAACAAAATTATTTTAATATAAATACCCCCACCAGCAACAATGTATCCAATCAAATTACTTCACTATATTGGGGAGAAATGTACACTAATGCGTATTTTCAAAAACTTTAATATCCTACAATTGATATGAAACATGAATTATTTATCTCACAAAATTATAAGGCCCCAACCTATAACCTTCATGACATAATGGTTCCAAAGAACACCGTGTTACTTATGTTGTTAATTTGTTGCACAATAACTGTTTTAATGCATTGACAAAATATATTTAAAACATAAAATGCAATTGAATTAATAATACTGAGTATTCAAAATATGTATATCAAACTCACTAACACATTTTAATTGGCGTTTTTGGAAGCCTACAGCATAGAAGCTTAATGGAAACCTTTGAAATGCTTTCTGCTTGTTATAGCAGATGAATTTGAAATTTTCAAACACTATGCAGTTTCCAGGTGGCAGCCACCTGGAAATTAAGTGTTCTAAGTGTTCACAGTAGGTGAACAAAAGATAAACATTTGGTATTTAGTGAGGCATTCATCATAAAATGTTGGAAAGTCAGGAAGAATTGGAAACCAGGAGATGTATTTGAGATGTATATTTGGGTCAGACCAAGAAATTACTAGCTAAAAGCAAACAAATAAAGCCTAAAAAGCAGAGTGTCTATAAAATGGAGAGAAAAATACAAAATATATCAAAGAATACTCCTGAAAGCTAAACATGTGGAAACAGAAAAAAGAAATAAAAATAGGCAATCATTAAATCCACTCTGATAATACACTGAATATTGCCCTTTCTCTAGAAGCTAAATACATTCCCAGCAATTCCAGGAATAGTCTCTAGTATATAGTAGGAGTTCTTAAATAGTGGTCTAAGGTTTTCTGGAAAACATATAAATTTATCCTTAAGGACAAAGTGGAATACACAGAAACTTCGGTGAGGTTCCCAGGAAGGACCAGGAAAAAGCACCAAAGAGAAGGTGACATTTACTTTACTTGATGAAGGAGACAACTAGACAACATTTTAGGCCACAGCTGCCACTTCCCATAGATTTACCTTAGAATCTACCACACAGCTCTCAGCTGAGACGCTGAAAGGCTATAAAAAGGCAGGGCAAATGAGAAACAGGAATAGAAGGAAGGGGGCTAAGAAGGATTCTCACGGAATGAAATTTTGGGGAGGAGAGATTAAGGGTATAGGAATCAAGAGCCACATTTTATTGCACATTGTGATTTACACATTGAGATGTGGCTGGAAATGGCAAGTCAGCTGTTGGACATACAAGTGCGGAGCCTGGAGGAAAGTGTCGGGTATAAATTTGTAAGGCATTAATGTTACGATGGTATTTAAGCCCTGGGAAGCTGACGAGATCACCTGAGGAGCTAAAGGGAGGAAAAAAGAGGAAGACTCAATATTAGGCTAATAACAACAGCAATAGAGGCTGCAGAGAAGACCAGGACGGACTGGATACTGAGAGTAAGAGGGAGGAGCCAGGGCGACAGAAACCAGGTATGAGTGAGGGAGCCTGAGTTGCACTAAGGCACAGGAACCATACCTTGGATCGGCAGCCAGACAAGAGCAGTTTCTGGCGAAGACTAATCATACAACTCTGCTTGTTAAATGAATGAGTGAATGAGTTACAGAGTGAACTAGCATGGTCTTTCTAGAATTCCGAGTTGACTACCTGGGGAGTAATGGAAATATATGCTAGAGCTATGAAAGCCCTGAAAAAGAGAGAGCTGAACAAGGCGACACGATAAACTTACCTTTGTTTTATTTTAATACACCCCAAGAAACCTTACAGTTTGGTCTTATTTCCTACTCATTAATAAAACACCATTCCAACTTAATAATGAAACAGGTTATATGAAATAATCAATAAAAGCTTCATGGATTAGAGTTCATTAATTTCACTTGTTTAGACATGGGAAAATGTATTCAACCCCAAGAAGTCCAGAAAGAACGATCACAATGGTGTACAGAAATACAATAATGACCCGAAATACTTTCACTGAAATACAACAGATAAGCTGTAGGCTATTATCTCTTAGAAAAGAAGCAGCCCTAATGAAGTAGATTTTTGAAAATTGTCATACGGGTAAGCTCATTAGTTGCAATGAAAGTTCCCCCTGCTGATCCAGGAGTACCTAATGGCCAAGATTTGTTATGTCTCAAAAACAAAGGTACTGTTTAATTCATGTGATAGCTCACTGAGGAGATTTCAAATCTGGAAACTTTTAAATAATGATATATAATATAAGAGCATTGACATTCTCCAAAGCAAACCAACTTATTTCACCTAAAACATCACAATTATTCCTCTAAAATCTCCTTCATTAATAGGGTAACATAAGCTTGGAAATAAATTATGCTCCACAATCACCTACACTATAAAAAATTACCTCAATGATGGCTACTCTATTTCAAATATGAAGTTGGCTGCTCCCTGTGAAACACATTAACGGTATCTGCTGACCCATCCACATATGCGTTCCTCTGCTAAACAGATGGAAACTAAAACCCCCCAGGCCCCCACTGCCCCATAGAAACACCAGGAAAGAAAACAAACAGAAGAATCTAATTACCAAGCTACAACTCTGCAAGCCCTTATGAAAGTTAAGTATTTTTCAAAAGCAAAATATCATAATATTCGTGAATTTTAAGTACAATCAAATGGGTCATGATAGATCAATGGTATTTCAAAAACTTAATTTACAAGCAAAAACTGCTAAAAAATAAGTTCTATGATGAACAATGCACCTGAAGGAGAAGTATGTACAGGTTTACTGTTCATTTTCAGAACTAGTAGGAAAGATGGTGAAGTGATCAGGAATAAAAACTGCTATTAGCCAGAAATGTTTGCGCTACTTTAATTCTTGCTAAATATCTAATGCTGACATAGCAATTACCTTCTCAACTATCTTTTCACTAGAAAGAAGAAAAAAAACCAACTTCCTCTATATTTCAAGCCACTGGGCACGTGCCACTTTTTCATCTACCACTCAGTTACTATGAAGTTTAATGTTCATCAAGAACACCCATTTTCAATTCTTTTTTATCCTGTTAATTCAAATCTTATTCCAAAATTTCAGAAATCTCATTAGAAAAGTCGCCTTCCCTAAGCTAAAGGACCAATCACTTAATTATTTTGAGTATCACTGAGCTATTTTTAATGTGTGTGTTTTTTCTCAATGCACTTTGGTCCTAATATCACATTGTTTAATATACAGAAATAATTTGAATTATTTTCATTCTTAAATTTCACACACACACACACACACACACACACAAAATGTCCTTACACCGAGGACATTTTAAGGTAAAGTAAGAGCCAAGTAAATAATTCAGTATCATTAGAGCATTGGGAGGCAGGAGTGAAAAGTGAAAAGTTTAGTTTTGGTCTTAAAAATCCAGACCAATATTTCCAGCACTGTGACCCCCTTTCCCCCAGATGATATGAGGTATACATGTCAAAGAAACATACATCTCAGGGAAATGTCAAAGAACATCTCACCTAATCACATGCCTTTTTGCTGATAAAGTGCTACAATCCCCATTTTGTAGAAAGGAAAATAAAGGGAGTAAAGAATGATAAAAGTGATTTAAGAAGAAATATTCACTTTAATATGGAAAAAATAAAGTATCCTTCTTTAAGTTGACAAATTCAAATTTTAAGAAGGAAATAAACAGATTACAAAATACTTTGACATTACTAATGACCAGTGCTCAACACAAAAAGTTCAGACAGTCCACCATTTCAAGTGAGTTGTCTTCCAAAATGCATATTCAGATATTTCTGTATATTCATAGATGTGTATTCATAAATTGGCTGTTGGGAACCAATTAAAGTTTTTTTCCATAGGATCAATGTGATATACAAATAAAAACTGGATTCTTCAGGAAGTCAAAAAATTACATTTGATCATATTATAACCAAGTATTAATAAAAGGTCCTATCCTTTCTATGGCCCTTTATAAGCTGATCTAAACCCACAGTAGGGGGCCAGAAACAGGTTAGAAATCTCAGCAGTAGGAAGGAGTGAACTGAATCTCTGGAAGTTCGGTGTCTATTAGGACAGAGAAAGCACGCTCCACCTGTAAGGTGGGTGGAAACAGGGGACACTAATTACTAGTGCTTGGCTCAGACACATAATAGTTCCCAAGTGCTCCTGAATGACAGTGAGTCAAAGGAGCATAACAGTGGCCACCCTTGGCTTAGTGGCAGAGGTGGGGTGGGCAGATATTCACAAGGTTTAAACTTCAGAATGTCAGATTTTTTAATATAGGGCCTCATTATCTAATCCGATTAAACTCATAACTCCAAAGACAATTCATAAAACAAATGTTCTACAACATCTATTTTTAAAGTGACGTGTATAGTATGAAAACACTATGAAAAAGTAGTAAGCATGCTCGAATAAAAGGCATTACTTTCTGACTCTAAGAACTGAAGACCCAGAGCAGTGGAAGGTTTTCTATTAAAGCACAAACCTTTGCTAGCTTTGTCCAAATGTTTCAAATCGTCCACAAAATTCAGGATATCAGGGTACTTTTCTTCACATATTTCCACTAGAAAATGAAGTAGTGTTGTTTTCTGATCTGCTGATTTTGTGTCCTTCAGCTAAACAGAGCAAGAGGAAGAAAAAAACCAGTCAAACATGTTTTGATAATCTGCCTATTTAAATAATGTTAATATTGTATTTTCTAGGTAAGAATGAATGAATTGTAAAATTAGTTAATTCTATTTTGAAAAGCAAATGTTTAAATACTTGAAAAGCTACTCTTTACATATTGTTGCTCGGTCAACGTCATTAACATTAATTGAAAAGAAGGAATAAGTATAATCCAATCCATAATGTGACATTTTATGGGGGGGGGGGATATATGGTAAGCACCTAGGAAAGTCAATACAACAGTGGTGCCTAAACAACCCCCACATTTGATCATTTCCTCATTTGGCGCATGCTGGTGGAATGCCTGCTAGATACTGCAGGAGTTGGAGACACAGCAGCTGACAGTCATTCCTCAACAAGCTGTTTAGTGGAAAAAAACAAAGAAACAGAAAATACCTATTCACTCTGGTGTGACAAATAGTATAGTAAAACTAATCACAAAGTACATTTAGGAGGACATGACATCTAAATTGAACATTGGTAGAGAGGAAGTTGTATGGTGTTAGGGAAGGGAAGAAAAAATCAAGAGCTCAATATCAAGGCAGGAGGAGCAGCTTTTGCAAAAGGCCACAGTCGAGGAAGAAAACGGCACATCCGAGGAGTCAGAATGACTCCAAAATACAAGTGTGTGTCAGGGAGGGCAAGAAGGTAGACTAAAAAGATATGAATCTGAAAAGACAGGAAAATAAAAGGAAAGGTAGGTCATGCGATGGAAATAAGATTTTGAGCCCTAAGAATTTGGAGTTTTTAAACAGATGAGAGATGACCAGATGTACATTTCAGAAAGCTCCCTGTAGGGTAGTGTGGATAAAAGATTAGAGCAAGGGTAATAACAGGAGCAGGAAGAGTAATTTAAAGAGCTATAGCAATAATCCAGAAAGGAAAGATGACAGCCTGAGTCGAGGTGATGCTTTGGGAATAGAGATAATGGGACAGAGTGGATGTGGAAACCCAGGCGATGCCGTTAATGGAGAGAAGACAGAAAGGACGAGAACAGATTTGGGTGGGCTGGGCAATGAAAAAACTCATTTAAGTTACGAACAAGTTGAGTTTGAAGTTTTTAAGTAACATCCAAGGTGGAAATGTCCAAAAAGGACATAGAAACAGTGATTCTCAACCTTTTTTCATTACTATCAGCTAAGGCGCTTTTTAAGGCATTTTTTGGCTCTGATCATTTGCACTCATGGAATTTTTAAACCACAGGTACACTGTACATCTGTTTATGTACTGTATGCATACCTGTGCTTTACATACAGCAACAGTAAGACATTCTTGCTCACCAAGAACAATTTTTTATCCCTTCAAAGGTGATAAACTGTTGACAAACTATTGAGAATCTCTCTGGGGGTTGGAACTCAAGGAGTGAACTGGTCTAAGAGCATCCATTTGTGAGCTGTTAGCCCCTAAAGCTAAAAAGTTGATCAAATAAATTCAAACAGGTACACAGAGTAAAAGGAAGAACAGAGACTTGAAGACCAGGATGGACCCATCATAATCTGAGATGGTCATGGAACGCAATCAGAGAGGAGAGGTGGTTAAGCTAAAATCTAACAATAAACAGGGAGTTAGCTTGGGTTTCACGTAGTCATTGGGATGAATACTGGGTGTGAACACAGGGTATATAGGTAATCTGGTAGAATTTCCTACAACTCAGTAATCATTCAGAGCAGATACACAAATGAGAGGGGGGAAAATCACTCTGCATACCAGGATTTAACTTAGAGCTGGAAACTCTTCACCTACCTAACTGGGGACAGTCCTTCTTTTCCAACAATTTCCCACTTGAAAATATGTATGTGTAAGTATGTATACATATATCCCCATAGGTACTATTTTTACAAATTCTACCATCACTAAATATTATATCACTATCAGGAGAAAAATAAGTTAATATACAATAGAAGAATGGGAGCGATTCTGTGCCATCATAAATATTAACACACACAACTTATTAGTGCAAAAACTAGCGTACTCCTGGAAACATGCAGCTACCCTTCTAGGCAGCCTGACTTTCATAGGGTACCCAGGTAATAGCTTCAAATGCTACAGTGACCTATTCAACACACAAACCATGTTGAACCACTATGTTGAATACCTGAAAGTAATATAATATTGTATGCCAACTACACTTGAATAAAAAGTAAAGAATGGTTCCTGGAATTTTAAGAACGGTATCAACATTTAATCCATTACTTAACGCCTTTTAAAAGGAACAGAGATTCCCAACATCCAGCTGAGTGTTTTAAAAGAGTATACTTCAAAAAATGACTCAAATAATAGCTAGACTAATGGTTACTAACATGTGTGGTAGACCTAGTATAGTTAAAACACATCCTTAACTAGTTATATAGCCTTGGGCAAGTTATTGGACCGTAGTTATCACACAAATGAAATAAGAACACGGACTAGACAAAGAGAACTCAACTCATTTTCTACTCCAAAAATATTAAGTATGCATTCTAGTGGACTTAGTGTTAGTAGACATACCAAAATCTAATTTAAAATAGGATAAAAATGAGGAAACCTAGTTGTTATCTCAGTTTAGAAGTTATTTTTGCATGCTTGGACCAGTTAGAATCGTTCTATCAGTTTCAGCTTTTACATATGCTGAGAATGTTAATCCAATTTCTAAAAGTTACCTTTCAATCATAAAATTGCATTTATACTATCATCTTAAATGGATAAGGCCAGATTAAAAGTAGCAAACTTTCACAAACATAATAGTTTTCTCTTGTACAATCAAGAATTAGCATAAAAGCCATCGTGTTTTTTTAAGCATCGTAGTAGCAAAGCTCTTTATTCCCCCCACTTCACCCCCTTTACAGCAGTGATTCCCCAGGGAACCCTGTCCCTTCAGTGTACACTCACCTCCTGACTGTAACCAGTTTATATCCTTCCTTATCATGTTCCTTTCATGTGAAGCTGGACACATAGCCTGTGTAGAATATTAAGACAAGCACCATCGAGCTCTACATTTTGTGAAGCTTGGACAGAGTGTTCCAGTACTATTTGTAACATAGCTAAACAGCCAGCAACAGCTAGGATTAATATACCAAGAAATTTCTATGATCCAACAACCACCTGGATCAATCTTGATCTTTATTCAAAAGCAGTAAGAATTTAGAATTAGAATTCTGGAAATACTATAGTTTATATAGTATCTACAAGTTTAATAAATTTTAAGTACGTATGTCAAATACATTCAAGTATTTAGAGACAATCATAAAGCTAAAAACTAACTTATGGAGGAGGGCGGTATCTTGGTTGAAATATTAAAAATATCAACTGACTAGCAAGTAGCATGTTGTTAACATTCTAATATAAAAAGTTTATTCTGAATAGTAAAAGGAAGCAGAATTCTCCTATCCTTCAAAAATCTATATTTAACAATTATAACACTTAAAAAACATCCTGCAAATTTCCAATAAATAAATCTGAAATTAAACCTAATAAATAAGACATTCAGATAAGAAACACCAATTGAAAGCATTTGTTGATAATACATGGTGTCTCATTTACAAACTACTATGTGGCTCTAAATTCCAGGCCAGCCATTTTTTATTCAGGTCCTAAAATTCTCAGAAAAAATTGCATAATTCTGCTAAGATATATTCTTCTTGCCTCAAATACTCGATTCCTTCCCTCCTTCCCCAAATAACTTTAAAAAAAAAGGACTCTTTTCAACAGCATGAAAGCACAACAAAATGTATTTGTCAAAATCTTTATCTACTTGCTGCTCAATATTTTTTCACCTTTTTGATAAACATTAACAGTAAAGAGGGCACATTCTATCCCCAATAATTTCTCGTATCAATCATAATCAGTGATTAGCTAGAAGAGGAAAGCTTGGGAGATAGTGACAATTTTGCTGAAGACAAAGAACAACATGAACACATTTTGTATTGCTAACTTTTGGAAAGAAAGTGAAGCTAAAATATTTGCTTAGAAACTTCATTTAGGTTTAAAAATAAGCTTCATTTAAATTTAACAGACACTGCTTGACAGGATTCCTTTTGTATTATTGTCAAGAGATTTATCTTCCTGATGAGTAATCATCACTGTTAAGTAGAATTTCTTATTTATATATTGTTTCTTTAAGGTACATTTAATGTGGCACAGATGTCAAATAAACAAAAAGATGGATGGACTTTCTTCAACCGCTCTGTTCATTCCAGACAAAATAATGTTAAAAGTAGATCCTATAATAAATCACGGCCTAGTTGTCAGTCTGGAGTACAAGTTCTTTGTTGCTACAATGCAAGGTTTTGGAATATTTCTAAGGTATTCAGCACAAATTTGGATGACATTTAAAGAATATTCCATTGTCTCAGTCACAATAAAAAAATTCTTAAAATAAACCTTAGTATCTTGGTGATTTTCTTAATTCAAAGACTGTAGCCCTTTCCTCTTGGATAATAAAACATATCTTAAGAATGTTGTTAAATTAGTAATTCTCTTCCCATTATGTTCCTGTAATCTACGTATGTATCCAAACAGCACTGACTATTTTAGATGTTGTAGACATTGCTGACCACCAGAAAAACGACAAAATTATGGGCATCTGTAATGGCTCCATGAACATTGGACCTTAACTTGTGAACAGTAGTAATGCTGAGGATGACAACAGCAGCTCTCTTACGTGGCACTATGAGACAGAGACTAGCCAAAACTATGTAAGTATTATGCTTAAAACATACAACATCCCTATGAAAAGAGCACTATTAAGAGCATTATTAAGGAGGGGGAAAAAAGATTTGCAAGATCATGTAGTGAACCCCACATCACATAGCTGCTATCTGATAGAGCCAAGATTTGCAGCCATGTCTGTGTGAATTCAAAGCTCTAAACCACTACAAATAGAGTTCCCCTACGAAAGTCTTTATCTAGTGGGTATTATTATTCTGCATCAAAAGAAACAAAATTCTCAAAAACACAGTAGACAAAAAAC